TAATGATGATGTACATTCTTCAAAATTAGCTTCAAAGCTTTAATCTGTGAAGTTTTTCCCCACTTGTGGACAATAAAGTTGTTGTAGCGGATGTATTAGCAAGTAGTCAAGCAAAAAAATAAAAATGGATGAAATAAGAGTGTAAAACGGAGACTAACAATCTAGGTAACAGAGCATAACGAGCTGTAAACACAACATAAACATGCAGAGCGACCTTACCAACAATGCACTGCATGAGGAAGCAGGTGTTCCTAATAAAGTGCCCTGCGAGTGTATAATCACCCCTAATCGTCACTCATAATCAGTGTCTGTGTGCTCACCTGAACTTGTGTATGGTGTGACAAGTCATACGTTTTTGACTGTGAGATACAAACAGATCCCAAGGCTGCTGCTGACCCTGCGTGTGCGTGTGTGTGTGCGTGTACGTGTGCATGTGTGTGTGTGCGTGTGAGCTGCATCGTCGTGGTCGCTTGGGGAAAAGTCTCTCATGTGCGTTTTGTCATGTCCCCGAGTGTCCTGAGGAGGAATATTCAGAGAAGTTTCCTCTGAAGCCAGCAGTCTTCCAAGCAACAATCTTTGCTGCTGTCTTGTAGCTTCCTTAATCTTCTTTTGCATAGGGCCTACGTGGTTTTTGTACCTGCAGGGTTAAGCCCTTATAGACTTCGCAGGAACCCGCATTACTTTGAAACAGTAAGAGTTGGATGCTTTTTTGGAAGAAATAAATCCTCTGGGGCTGCATGAAACTTATTAAATCCTTTGGTTCAAGGGAGGCTAATTTGACTTCTCTGGAAGAACAGAGAGTTATTTTACTTATTTATTTATTTATTTAATTTATTTATTTTTATTTTTACCCTGGGACTGTATTTTAGTTAAGCCCTTCTTTGACACAGTAGATATTTTAGCTGCATTAAGGTTATGTGACTCAGCCATTGTGTTGGATATGTGACAATCAGACACATAACTCACCTTTCAGAGAAGTTATAAAGTCATGTGACCTACCACCTGTGCCCATTTCACTCATTGGATCTATTTATGTTAAAAATAGAGAGTGGCTGGAACATTCAACATTTTGTCATGTTTGTCATAAATCTGTAAATTTCCAGTTTCACTTCTAATGTGTGCATGTTATTATTATTTTGAATAAATCACAGTTTAAACTGGGATACACAATCAAACAACAGATCAGCAATACTGTATTTCAGCCTGTACTCAGCCTCAACACAACACTATAACCCAGAACATAACGTATGACAGAGAAATGATATCTCCTGAGGAAATTCCACTCAAATTTATGTAATAAATTAAGCACAGTTATGTAGGTTTGTTTTAGTATTCTACAAATTACTGATGTTCACCGTTAATATGCCAAAAAAGGACAGAATACAAGAGATTTTTAAAGATTAAGGAGCACCAGTTCCACAGAAATGACCCTTTGGCCGCACAGATTGAGCAGAATTGGATCATGATTCTGAATAGTAAGGTTCCTCGGGAACATAAAACTTCTTCATGCCTCTCCTCTCCTCTCCTCTCCTCTCCTCTCCTCTCCAGACGGACATATTTGAACTGCATGTGGTCAGCTGAGAAGCAGTTAGGATGAGCTTTTCCCAGGAGAAGCAGGAGGATTATTCCAATACATTATTTTATGTATCTCACCCTGATTTACATAAAGTATCCCAATCCAAAATGAAAAAGCACAATTTTTTTTCTGAGACACTCAGGAATTTAAATTGTTCTACTATAGTTACTAACAATCCCTCTGAGCCCCAAAAAGAACAATCATTTCAGACAAAATGACTTTGAAACAGTTATCTCAGTCCATTTTCAAAACAACTCCATGTTATCAAAGTTCACTTTCCCTCAGACACTGAACAATTGATTGGATATAAAAACCAGTGAGCATGACACGCATAATTACACAAAAATGCAGGGACTAAAAGCGTGGTAATTATGAGGTTTTCAACAAATAAATCCTGGAATGTTTTGGGGCTGTTTTTGACAGACATGCAGAGGATGGTGTGACAAACAAACTGCAGCTGACCATGTCTGCGTTTCTGCTGCTGCTGTGGATTACTATTCAAAACTGTGACACTGAGGAAGGCCTGTCGCAAAATGAGACACGTAGGTTAAGTGAAAAATGTGAAACTGAGGGCGCTGGCTTTTGAATACACACACACACACACACACACACACACACAAAATTTGGAAATGTAGCAAGCATGCTGACCCTGCAGGAACATGAAGCTTTTCCTGCAAATGCCAGTGTTACTGTTGAACTGGGAATTCTTAGTGGGCCCAGTGCAGCACCATGAAGTCAGGCATTTAAAGTCCAAAACACAACCCTAATTAAGATTGAGCTCTTCATGTTTGAGGTCTCTCAGCCAGGTGAGGGAGGTTTTCAGAAAGGTATTGTTGACTTGATGTTGTCCAGTTGCAGCGAACAGCACTAATCTTCTTGCAGGACGTATTTACAGCTGTTTTGCTGTGTGGTTTCCTGTTTTACAGTGTGTCCCTTTGGTGCAAATTAAAACATGCAACCAACACAAGTAAATAGCATCCATGTGGAGTTAAGAAACCCACGCAAACACTTTCTCCCTCCCTCTGTCTGGCGTGTGTGGTGATCGTCTTTCCAGGTTTATGTCTGCAGACAAGACAATGGCACACAGAGGTGGAAAAACTCCTTCTAAGCCAAGAGAATCAGACATTTTGTGGCAGAGATTATAAAACATTTTTCACCTTTTACTTTGATCCAAACAAGTTAGTTTAATATTTTTATGGAAAATGTCTCCATCCGAAAATAGTTTGACATATGTTTTTACATCTAATCTGAACTCCTCAAGACGATAAACAAACATCTGTCAGACATAAGAAAGGCAGCATGGACACATCTGTTGCCAAGGACCTTTGAAAGCTTTTTGTGTCACCACCAAAGAAAAGAAACAACGTTTTGTCTCGTCTCTGTGACTCCTGTTGCTGTAGCTGTGCCAATATAAAATTACCCATTATAAGATATTTTGTTTTGCAGATTGACTTCCTGCCTTCTAATCCTAATGGTGTATCCTCTCAATAGATCACAATTGTGTGCTGTCCTATTCTCCCAGTTCTTCCATTCAGCCAGATCAGGTATTAATCTTTGCCAGGCTTTCGGTTTTATAGCACAGCAGACAAGGATGCATTAACCCCAGCTAATAATGCTGTAGCCCCACCGACCTCTAATGGCATTCTGTCTGACACTTTGGCAGGATTTACACAACTGCATGTACAAACAGACGTGCACAGGCAATATACAGTTTAGACTTGAATGTTTGAGACAACATGCTTTATTAAAGGTCCCATATTTTACATTTCTCCTGTGCTTTATCTGAAGTGTTGATCCAGAAGAAGATATATTTGTGCTTTTAAGAACCAGAAACCATCTCAATGTAGTTTTACATCTCCTCTCTCAGGCTTCTCTCTGGAGCCCGAGTACCAACAAGTCAATGAGCCAATCATAGAGGAGGCTCTGAGCCTCTCTTCTGATTGACTGACTGTTTTCTGAGTGATCCAATAAAAATACTGCAGATTTCAGGTAAAAACACTCAGAGAAACCAAATCCTGCAAGGTTGGACTGTGGGTCCTGGTGGGCGGGGCTTTTGGCATGGCTGAGAGCTGTGACTGCTTTGTTGTGACATCACAAAGTTACAGGAAGTCCTGACGGCTCGTTTTAAGGCTCAGTTTCTGAATACAGACTGTGTGCATTTCTCTGTGGACTGAGCACTTTGATACTCTCATAGTATTAATATAGAACCTAAACCTGCCTTATAATTAAAAAAACACATGGACATCTGCCTTTATACAACATGGGACCTTTAAAATGCACTGAAAGGCACAAAAACACATACACACACATTATATGTCCTGAGTTCATTAACAAAGAGCTGCATTGTGCACATTAGCACATCATTTTACAGAGGACTCCCTCTACTGTTTTGACATAAGGTGGCAGTGAAATAAGGAGGAGGAGGAGGAATTTCCGATGAGTGCAAAGATATGCCTGAAGTGTGATGATGGGGATCTGAGAGGCTCCTCTCGTCATCTGACACTGTCGTAATCTGTATATTCATTCTGCGTGCTTATCACTAATCTTGAGATTTCTCCAACTTAAAATGAGCAGTTTGCTTTTCCCTCCCAAATGTTTCCTCCCTGAGGCGAGGCCCGGAGCATTAAATCCTAATGTCCCCAGCAGCAGCAGCAGCAGCTGGAGGAGGAGTGAGGTCGGCCTTGTGAAGTGCTGGAAAGTCATTTGCATTCAAAGCTGTAGTTAGAGACTGTGAGAGAGATGTTTGTGGTGGCAGGAGCACAGATGCTTCACATTGATGAGAGCTGACCACAGGGCCTTTGAGGTGGTTTCAGATCAGGCTCGGTGGAGCAGGGGGGGGGGGGTATATTTTAATTTCTGAGGAATCAACAGACAACAAGTGATGTCTCCAGAGCAGTAAAACCAACAAATTCAATGACCTAAAGTCACAACCAGCTTTTACTTTGAAGGGCCTAATCTGGCATTAATCAGGATGGACAACAACTTTTTTAAAGATGCTATTATATGAAGTCATACATACAGTGGGATCCAGAAGTCTGAAACCACTTTCCCATTCACTTGAATGGGAAAGTGGTGTCAGATTGAACTACATCACAGCTCATAAAATAAATCTTTAAAGGGGGGGTTTTCCTGCAGCCTCAGACGGGTCTCCCTCAGATTTAACATCCTAAAAGTTGTTGTTGTTACAGGTTTTATATTTCTGCCCCACATCCTATAACTGTTGAGTCAGGAGCAAGGCAGCAGGATTTTAAATATTCATAATCTTCTCTAGGATTTTCTCTAAATGGGGCCTTCACTTTGCTTTGCTGCCAGGAAATGACTGGTTCTCACCGACTGAGACACCCAGAGGGGATGAGAGCACGCTGCAGCTCCGGCATATAAAAAGCAGCGAGCAGCAATCAGAGTAACAGAGGACATGCTTGTGCAGTGTAACAGGGAGGCTGCTTGTTCTAATAGAGGAGTTTCTGTGTTTGCATTGCAGCGAAACAGTTCAGGTGAAGAAGACCACTCACCACGGGACATTAAGAGAAGATATCAAGAACAATCTGGATTTATTTATTTTCTAGCTTCAGTTATGAGTAATTGTCAGAATCAAAGCGATCCTGATCATCCCCATGGATTTCTTATTCCAAAGGTAGGTAAAATATCCCGTATCGAAAGAAACGTTTAAAGGACAAAAAATATGCCTTGAGGCTATCATTTCAAGTTCAATTCTCTTTCTATTTATTTGTTTGTTCTATTTTTATGTTAAAACGAGAACGTCCACTTTAAAGCATTAAAACACTTGAGAGAAAAGGAAAAAGAAATGCTCTCACATGAAAGACAAAAATGTGATAGTGGGATGTGAAGTTGTTTGGGGTAACAGAGATAATGTCTACCATCATTATGCATGTCTCATTATCTATTATAATCATTATTTGTTTATTTTTTAGTTTTTTATCAGGCCTTTAACAACTTTTTAATACCTTCAAATGACATGCACCAAATAATAACAACAATGACTAGAGTGAAAGTGAAAATAAAAGCATAAAATTAAAAAAAAAAACTATTGAATAAAAATGCTTGGGTAAAGGAAAAAAATAAAATTAGCACATACAAAGAATAGGAAAACTTTAACATGGTTGTAATACATTATCACTTTTGAATACAATTTAACAGCTGGCTAGATAATTGATATGGAGCAACAAGTTTCACCTTTAATCTTGCATCTGCTCCACCAGTCTTTCTTGCCTCTCAGGGTGTGTGTGTGTGTTTTATAGGGCTCTGCTGCTGCACTGTAACTGCATTTCTATGAGGAATGCATGAAGCAGTGTCAACAGAAAGTCAGAACTTGTTCAGACTTCCCTCGCTGCTTTGTAAGAGGAGGAAAGTGAAGGTCTTTGTACCTAAACCCTCGGAGAGTGCTGAGAAACTAATTTGTTTGTCTTTGTTTTTAAAGATGAGTCACTCTGTCCTGAGGAGCTTTGAGACAAAAATGAAATAGGTTATTTTGAGGTTATTTCCCATTGTGATGTTCATAGGGACTGTACATAAATTATTATGAGGGAGGAAAAGTAAATAGTATGAGAATATTTCTTTGACTAAAGTTTGGCAAAAAACCCACCTCTTAGCATTCACCCCCACCCCTCCCCACCTCGATACCTTTTGTACAGTGTGTTATGAGTCATCTGATCCAGTCTCTTTTCCCTCTCAGTGACTGCTCAGCCAGAGGAACCACATCCAGCCCAGAACTCAGCAGTGATGCTGGCGATGCAGCACTACAACTCCTCGGGTATTATTGCCTCCGTCCCCCTCTACAACCACACCACCATGGTGCAGGAGCCAGAGATGGAGGCCGTGAGACATAATACCACCATTCCACGGAGCAACCCCATGGCTGCCGGCCTCACCATGACTCTGGGGATCCTGTTCAACGTGGTGGCCCTCATCATTCTCGCCAAGGCTTACAATCGCTTCCGTCGGCGGTCAAAAGCCACTTTCCTGCTCTTTGCCAGCTCCCTGGTGGCTACAGATCTGGCTGGACATGTTATCAATGGAGCCCTCGTGCTGAGAAGGTATTCTGCAGGGACTGGGTCCATATCTGATTCTGCTTCCAGCCTTAGAGGTAATCCTGCAGATACAGATACCTCTTGTCTGTTTTTGGGAGGTTGCATGGTCTTCTTTGGCCTGTGCCCGCTTTTCCTGGGTTGTGCCATGGCTGCCGAGCGCTGCCTGGGCGTCACAAGGCCTTTGATGCATGCACGTCTGGTGACCACAGCACGGACAAAGATGGCACTGACCCTAATCTGGCTACTGGCTTTATGCGTGGCCCTCCTGCCCTTCTTCAGACTGGGTGCCTACACCTCTCAGTACCCAGGGACGTGGTGCTTTATCAGGGTGATGGAGGACACTAAAGCAACAGATCTGGCCTTTATGATGCTGTTCTCTGGACTGGCTTTGAGTTCTCTGGCCATGGCCTTTGTGTGCAACACCATCAGTGGGATCAAACTAATGAGAGCCCGCCTAAAGAAGAGGTCATGCTCCCAACGCCGCTCAGCCAGGTCTCATGACACAGAGATGGTGGTTCAGCTGGTCGGTATCATGGTCACCTCCTGCATCTGCTGGAGCCCTCTGCTGGTGAGTTTGGAGAACATACTTTAAAAAGATATTTGACTACATTTAAAAGAGGTAAATAAATGTTGAGATATTTACACCTTATTTGATTTGGGTCAGATTTTGTAAATTACAGATTTAAAGAAAAGATTTGCAGAAAATGAAACGTTCAAATTTTAGGTAATCACTAAACAACTCTGATTACTACTATTAATATCATATGATGTATAAAACACCGTCATAAATATTATACCGTTATTAAGGACAGAAACATGATTGACATAAACTCTCCGTACGCCCCTGGAATGCAGCACAGTGTTCTTCAAACAAGACATTTATTATTCATTCATGTTTGTGCAGATTTCATTTGACTGAAATTAATGCTCACTCAAGACAGATGAAGTGATTTGCTGATTAAGTAGCTAAAGCATCTCCACACCATCATTTAACTGGGCAGTACTTTAGTTTATTAGCAGCTGGCTGGCTGATAATAAGGAGACACAGAGACAAAGTGATTAGCATGAAAACTATTAGACACTGTATCACACTGAACTGTAATAATGCACAGTATAGCTGGATGGTAAAAAATAAGAAGTGACTTTGCATTACAGAGAGCTATTAAGAACCACAGGAAACTGGAAGTTTTGAATTCCACAATAATTCCTGGTTTACAGCAGCTGCCTAAAAATTTATTTATTTTTCTTTCTTTTTTTTTTAAGGTTGTAAAAATCAACTTCTTCAGGGTGTGAGCTTGAAAAACAAATACTGAAAAATTAGCACAACCAACACACTGTGTTTGTTTGTTTTGGGTTTATCATATGTCGCAAGATAAGCCTAAAGCTGTTTCCTTTTCCTTTTTTAGATCTTTGGACTGATGTCGGCCACACGGTCCTACAGTGGCTCCCTAGGCAGTGACAGAGACATGTACAGGGGACTGATGGTGACCGGTGTCAGGATGGCAACCTGTAACCAGATCCTGGACCCTTGGGTGTACATCCTGCTGCGACGTGCCATCCTCAGGAAGATCTACCACATCACTAAAAGGCAGGCCAGTCTCAAGGGAAGCATGTTTCGCTCGATCCGCTGGGATGTCAGCTCCTTCCAGAACTCAGAGAAAAACAGCGTTCATAAGATTTAAAGGAGGAGGAAAGGGGAAATGGTGTCTATCTCTTTTTAAGGGATGCTCTGACACTTGCCAGCAGGATCAGCACTGAACCTGGCAGCTTTTCATCCCGATCAGAATTCAGTGTTGAAAGGTCCGAGATGAAAAGAGACTTCTTTCCTGGCAGGTGGGAATGGAGCCACCTTTGTTTGTATGTATGAAGTGGTTAAAAATGGGAAATATTCCAAACATGTTCCAACATGTTTTGAAATATCACTGAGTGGCTAATAATAACCTCTTAGGTTGTTGTACGTATCAGCCAGTGTTACACTACAAAGGGAAAAAGCTCCAACTTATTATAAACTGCATAGTATATTTCAGAATGCAACATTGCCCATGTACTGGACGTGTTTGCATGGCAGTCTACCCTCTATGAGAGGAGATGTAAATATAAAGGTTTCTGTGTGCAGGACTATGATGTATTCATTTTTTTGCTGAAGTGAAGACTGTATCTACTCTTAAAGCGAACATCTCAACTCTGTAAATGTGCCGTTTGTTTTGTTTTCTGACACAATGTAAAAGTCAATGACTTGTGTAAATGCTCACATGAGAGAGCAAAAAAAAAAAGCTGTGCTTTTACCTCAGCTTGAAGATGTGAAAAAACACCATGTGTGTGTACAATGTAATGCTGTGATACGAAAGTGAACGTGTGTGTCTATTGTGTGTTTGTGAATGTATCTAGAGTGTTTTCCCCGAGTGTCTGGGGACTGAGTGAAGCTATGTGTCGCCAAAGCTAATTGAATGTGATATTATCCAGAAAAGGAAATGTAAGATTACATAATAAATTGTTATCAGTTAATGTTCCATCTCATTCTGGTTTCTAATCGATGTCACAGAATTTTTACAACTTTGTCAAGATACACACACAACAACAATTTAAACGGTTAATGGTTAAACCAAAGTGTGGTTCCACTTTATATGCAGCAATGAAAAGATAGGTTTAAGATTTAGATTTAATGTTCAACAAGTAAGAAAATACACTACAATTTGTATTCTTGCCAAGAGTTGGATGAGAAGATGCCACTCTGTACAGTAAATATGATTGCCCATGGAGATAAACTAATGTTGCAAGTAATTCCTGAAATGCCACTTAATTTACATACAAAATTCTTTCACTAGATAATCTCATTGTGTATTCAACATTAACTTCATATGTAGAATGCAGCTCCCACAAAAGATGTGACATGCTCTTATTTTCATGAGATCGTATTATTAATGCCTTTTATTTTCTGAATAACCAAAAGATTATAAATCTTAGTTAGTGCTGCAAATGTTTCTCTATGAGAGTTTTTTTCAAAGCAACTAGAGCAAGTGGTCACTCCACTGTGATTAAAATGCTCAGTATGAAATATCATTGGGGGCTAAACTGTAGAATTCCCCCCATAATACTCAACACCTGTAGGAAATATGAACAGCTGGGTGAATATAATGGTCACAACAGATTAATGCTTGTGTTGTTCTCTCAGAACATTGGGGCAGCTGACATTAGGAGACAACTCAATTCAATGCCACCGGTGGTAGCCACGCCCCTGGTTGGTACCCCCGTCTGCAATTGTAGCCAATGGGAAAACAGTCACATGCACCGTCCAGCCAATGAGCGTCTCCATTCTCAGGCGTTTCCATTTGCTCCCTCACTGGCCACTGCCGTTGGTGCTGCCGAGACCAGGAGCTACCGTGCAGCATCGTCCGTTAGCAGGGAAAACACCACGGTGAGTAACAAAGATATTCATAATGTCAGTCCTCAGAATGCACGAAGTTAGTTATCGGGTGGTCACCGAACACCAAGAGCGCTAACGAAGCTTGTTGTTGTAGTCTAGCGTGTTTATTTATGTGCGCTTCGTTTACGGATCTATTTGGCTTTGTTTGGCTAAGCTAACCTGCTAAGTGCTAACTGTTGCTGAGCATTCAATGGGGTCTCGGTCTCGTCTCCTCGACCATTTTGGTGTCTGATAGGCAACAGACCAATATCCAAATATAAACTCGATTTTCTGCAACATGTCTACACTTGTATTTGGCTCTGCAGTTGATAGAAACGGCAGGTGGTAGATGTAGTAGATGTTTTTTTTGCGTTTTGAGGCTTGGCAAGAATGTCGGCATGGCGCAGCTTTTAACGGTGGGTGATCCGTGTTTTGTGGGGGTTGTTAGCTAGCTGCCGTCGCCAGTCGGGCTGTGCACTGAACTAAAATGGCGTCTGTTTTTAAAATTCTCCTGATGTAGATGTGGGGTCTGGGTCCCTAAACTGTTAGGCTACTTCTCCACAACTCACTCTCTCCTCACATAAAAGTTGCGTCAGTGCAGGTTTAACAGGTGAACCATTAGCTTGTAGGTCTTGGGTTGGCTTGGTCCCACACTTCAGTAACTTGTTGACTGAAACATGACAACAGGACTGAGGCTCTTTATAGTTTCACCCCACCTGCCTTGGCTGCAACTGGAAACTAAGTCTTTCCTGTAATGCAGGGAGTTATCTTAGTTTGCAGCAGAATATCTGATTGCAGTGGGTGTGTCACGACAATGAATGAGCCTTTCTTCCCCATCACATAATTTCGTTGCAGACAGTCACTCATAATTTGAGGCAACACAAATGAATCTGCAGTCATCTGTGAAGATGATTTTATTAACCTCTATTATGAGATCCATCTGATTCTGGTGGCACTGTACTTGCTTGTCTCTTTTACTATGTTTAGTTAAAAATATAATTTGATGATCATCCTTCTGGCCTGGTAACAATATAAATGTTTGAGCCTTGGGCACATGAACTAGTCCATGTACTTAAAGCTTGATTTGCTACAATAAACCACATATCTGCCTGTGAAAGTAGGGCTGTGTTTTGTCCCTGAGGCGTGAGTCGCTGTGCCAATGACCTTCTTATGTTGCTGCAGCTGATGACCACTTTATTTTAATGAAAGATATACAGACAGTCTCGAGCGACTGAGTGGGAAATGTTTTACACTGTTCAGTGTTAATGGTCTGGAGAATATCTACTGAGCAGACTGCACAGCCAACAGAATTTCTTTAATTCAAATATGTGTGTCATCCACTCGTCCTTTGTGGAGGCTGCTTGTTTTCATGGCTGTAGATTTCCCCCCAGTGACATTTGAATTCTGTCTTACTATTAAATTCTTTAAAACATGTATGTTTGTCTCCCTATAGGAACGGACTCCATCATTGTCATTGTCATCTGCTGCAGAGAAGATCTTTTTTAACGCTACCATTCACTGAATATAGAAGTCTTCACGGGTTTCTAGCGCAACAATGGTAATGATTTAATTTCAGTCTTACTTTTATTCGAAGTTACACATCTCTATGTCATGCCTATTTGTCTTTGAACAGACAGACAGACAAAGCACACTGTCCTATTCATTAAATGTCACTATTAACAGGACAACTTAATGTGTCACATCTAATTCAGTTCACAGAACTGGTGCCAGTGTTTTGTCATTCCAGTCTGCCCAGGGCTTTAGGAACACATGCTGCAGCTTCCACATCACAGCTCTCCTCTAAATTGGCTTTGGCTGCTTGCACATACGCTCGCCTTGTGTAATCATTGGTGTTAGAAGCTTGGCCTAGACATGGGGCCTTCTTATTCAGTGTTTTAATTAATCAAAGACAAGTGAGTGGCATAGAAAGCTGTGCTGTCATTATGATAAAGGAGAACCTTTTTAATCTTTATAAATGCCTCATAAAGACGGATTAATGAAGTTAGATAAATAACTGTTCTGAATAAAACCTGGAACATTTACAAATCAACAAAATGGATTGAAGTTGAAAGAGCTGGCTCTGGGTTTTATTCTGTCCAGTTACCCAGATAACTCAGTAATCCTGCTTTGTGAGAGAGGCCTCTGTTGTATAATTAGTAATGATCTGTTTAATTCTCCCAGGACATCTCTAAGCACAGTGAGGCATTGATGCATTATCAAAGGCAGATGTCAGATTTTGCTTTGCACCATGACAGAGTTAATAACATCCCACCTGGATGCTTTTGTGATGCACTATTTAGGGTGTGAATTGGGGTGAACTAGTCGCTGTTACCCCTGCCACAGCAGGGAACTCCCATTTCTCCTCAATTCATGTTGTTTCTTTTCACCACTAGCCTCCCCCAATGCGGCACCGCTCCATGCGCGTCTTCATGAACGATGATCGCCATGTCATGGCCAAACACTCTGCCATCTACCCAACTCAGGAGGAACTAGAAAGTGTACAGAACATGGTATCTTACACAGAGCGAGCCCTCAAGGCTGTGTCCGACTGGCTGGATAAGCAGGAGAAGGGAACGTCGAAATCCGACTCTGACAGCGCCGACACTGATAAGGAAAGGTGAGGTGTCATTTCTCATATTCAGTTAGAAAAAAACATGGCCAGTCCGTAAAAATGGTCGAATGATTCTTCTCTAATCACGTCTTGTTTTTCTGGAAAGTGAGCACAAAGATCAGGCCACCCGCTCTCTGCGTGGTGTAATGAGGGTGGGCCTGGTTGCAAAGGGGCTACTACTGAAGGGGGACCTGGACCTGGAGCTGGTGCTCCTCTGTAAGGACAAACCTACCATCAGTCTGCTGAAGAAAGTGTCTGAAAATCTTGTTACACAGCTCAAGGTAAGAACAAAGCTCAGTTCATTCAGTGTGCAAAATCACATGATCACACATGTTCATTAGAGCCTGACTGATGCTGGGTTTTTGAGACCAATACCAATTTATATTTGACAGTCTCAATATAGTTTTTTGCCAATATAATTTCTTTTACATAAGCACATAACATACATTTTTTTCCAAAGAAGATCCCTTATGATAAGTTATTAAAGAACTGTAAACCCTGATACCTGCTGAGTGAGATTGAAAATAAATTTGATGAATCAGATGAATGTTGAAAAATATTTTCAGACTCAAAAGAGCTTTACCTAAGGAGGCAGAAAGATACAGATATTAGCAAAACAGAGTACCTAGAGACACAAACACACCTATAATATTAGGAAAACACATGTGGGAAATCTGAATGGTCCGATCAGTGTGATTTAGATATGCAAATAATTTGTTTTGAATATTTCAAGGCTTCAGTCAAAGCTGCTGTGGCAGTTAAAACGGCAAGAGACGTTCAAGAAAGGATAGCTGTAGGTAATGAAGAGGGAGATGTAAGAGAGGAGGAGTTTTTTGTTACGCAAAGTGCTAGGTAATTAAAATATTTCTGGTAGATGTATAAGGTTAATATATACTGTATATACACTGTCTAAACACCACTTTTACTGTCTAAATGGACTGAGCCAGCCTTTTTTGGCGTTTCTTAAGAAGAACTACTTTATTATAGAGGTGTTCATGCCATTTATACTGGTGATACATTTTCATTGCACCCCTAAAGTTCTTAATGCGCTCATATATTTTCCTACTTAGAAGTGCATGTGCTCCTTGGGGAGAAGAGTAAGTGTCAAGCCCTGCAGTGTATCATGGTTTGTGATGTTTCTAGTGATTTCACCTGCTGAAACATTTCTGTAGTTACTTGTGATGGTTCGGCATCACATCCCTACAAATAGGAGGGGTTAGCCGCTGTTTGTGTCCTCTACAAAATGAATCCACATCATCACAAAATGGCGTAGTGCAGAAGTGTACGTAAGTCCCATTCTCATGAACGTGATATCTCAGTAACGCCTAGAGGAAATTCCTTCAAATTTTGCAGAAACCGCCACTTAAACTCAAGGATGAACTGGTTTGATTTTGGCGGTCAACATGTTTGTTTTTTTTACCATAATTTAAGAATCCATGTGCAAATTATGACACAGTT